TGTGAGCCCCATCCCCAGGGGCCATGACTTTGAGGCCCCTTCCCCAACTCAGGACAAGCTACTGCATTAGAAGGTCAAACGCATGTGGAGATGAAGTCAACAGTGATTAGAAAAGGAGCCATGGAGCCGGGAGCGGGGGCTCACGCCTGTAATCCCAGCACTTTGGGAGGCTGAGGTGGGCAGATCACGAGGTCAGGAGACCGCAACATGTCTGGCCAACTTGGTGAAACCCCGTCTCTACTAAAAATACAAAAATTACCTGGGCGTGGTGGCGGGTGCCTGTAATCCCAGCTACTCAGGAGGCTGAGGCAGGAGAATAGCTTGAACCTGGGAGGTGGAGGTCGAAGTGAGCCGACATGGAACCACTGCACTTCCGCCTAGCAACAGAACAAAAAGAAAGAAAAGGAGCCATCCATGATGAGGTTAGAAACATTTTGATGGACAGAAGTTCTAGGAAGGCTGGGAAGGTTTTGTGCCACACACACACAAAAAAAGGAAGAATGAGAAAAAGTTAAATTATGTAAGAGTTACTTCCTGAGGTGTGCACCTTCAGAGGGCTCGGCTTAAAGCTTCTCGTGAGTGCAATGAGCAGCTACATGTAACCCACCTGTGCTGCTTCCACTAGTTTGCCCCACAGGCTCCCAGGGCCCAAGGGAAAGGCTGAGCCACGTCCTGGGCTGGAGATGCTCCTGCAATGGTTGTGGCTTGTGCTACACTGCCTCCTGCTGTCACCTGGGAGGGCTGGGTCAGCACAGGGACCTCCAGGACCCTGAAGACAGGTCCCCAAATTACTAAGTCTAAGGATGCTAAGTCTGATGTCTAAAAATATAAACCAATAAAACTCATGGCAAGCTAAATAAATAAGCACAGGAGAAGGGAGAAATCCACACAATTACAAATGAAAAAAGGAGAAATAACCACAAATACAGAGGAAATCAAACACCTGAAGTGCCTATCCTGCAAAGCTACGCAACTATGTTGAAATGCGGATGGAATTAATTTTATTTAAAAAAAATGTAATTAAAATGGTCTCCAGAAGAGCTCGAGGATCTAATCTCCCTGATGAGAGAAATCCAGAAATATACCACAGCAGCCCCAGACAGCCCCAGCTAGTTCTTTTACACTGAAATAGAAAATAATTCAAAACCAATGGGTGGTTATAGAATATAGAGGTTTCTTAAGTCAGCATCAATTTAAATCAAATGTGGACAAAAAAGCGCACAAAAGCAAGCTGTAGAATGATTAATCTTAATTATAAATATGGATAACCAAAGTCATGATACTACTTAAAGAACATCTCAGGAATCATATACTAATGATTTGGTCTTAAGGATTCTATTAATATAATTAAACATACTACTAGAGAAAAGGAAAAGACTTTCTGATAATCCCTCTGGATACTGAGAAGGTTCTGATAAAAATCTAACATCTGTATTTCCCACAGAGAGCCTTAAGAGTTGGAGAACACACAGGTATTTTTTTTTTATTATGGCAAAGAAAATACATGTCTTCATACAAGTTAAACGCTGAGACATTAAAACATCCCACTGCTGTCAAGAACAAGGTAAGTATGCCACTGGAATAACTGTTACTCAACACTGATCTCAAATGCAGCCAGATTCAAGAAAGAAACATTGGAAAAGAGAAGTCAAAAGGAAATATTAGAAACAAGCAGGAATCACAATTTGTGGTTGATTGTAACATTAATACATGAAAACCAACTACTTTCTTATACATTGGGATAAAATAGAAAATAAAGTAGAATAAATCATTCCATTGGAAATGGTAGCCAAATGATAAAACATCTGGAAATAAGCAATTATAAATTCATAAGATCTTAATGAAGAAAATCATAAAACACTACTAAGTTACATAAAATCAGACTTAAACACAAGATTTCATGCTTTTGAATAGGAAGACTCAATCCGTAAATTCATTGTGACTCTAATTTTTTAAAAAAAGATTCACATGAGATTCAGAGCTGAAGGGAATGTTGAAAGTATGGATATTAGTATGAATAAAACTTTAGAAATTAAAGGCATTCATAAAGAGATAAATAAACAGAACAAAAATAGAACCAAACACTTAAAGAACTTTAGTTTACAAAGAAGGCTCCATTTTGAAGAAGCGGGGAAAACACTATGACTGTATTTCTGAAATGAACTATTACATAGTAATTGAAATAACTGGCCGCCATATGAAGGAAAAAGCATGGATCTTTCCCTCATTTCCTGCAACAAATGAATTCCGGGGAGTCAGAAGATGTGAAATAAGCAAATAAAACCATAAAGTTTCCGAAAGAAATAGGAGTAAGTTTATTTATAATCTCAGGATGAGGAAGGCTTTTAAAAACTGGGAATGAATCCTACCACTGACAAAAATATTGATAAATTGACAACATAAAAATTTAAACTCTCTCTATGCCAATAAAGAAGGAAATCAATAAATAACATCAAAAGACAAATGATAAACAAAAATATTTTGAAGACATAAGACAAAAATGTCCCAAAGTGCACGAGCAAATTAATTAAGAAAAAGCCAAATAACCCAATTAGGAATTGGGTAAAAGATATCAGCTTATAAAAATTAAAATTACAAAAAAAAATTTTAAATGTTCCATTTTTACACATGATAAAATAAACCAAAAGCAGAATAATATTCCAAAATATCATGTATCACTGGTTATATTGGGGAAAACATTAAGGTTGAAAATGCCCCATGCTATTATAGAAAGCTGAGGAATTGGGCCTTTTATTGTACTCTTCATGGAGTTACATCTATTGATCAGTTTCTAGAAGATAATCTGGCAATATCTACCAAAATTTTAAATACACATAACCTTCAAACTCAGCAATTCCATTTCTAAGTTGGAATTTACACCAAGCTTTAGTCACAAAAGTATGTCAAGATGTTATGTACAAGCATGCCAATTATAGATTTGTATATAAAAATAAAAACTGGAAATATCCATATGTTCACCAGTAAAAGGCTATTCAAATAAATGACAGTCCGCTGAGACAATGGAATGCTAAGCAGCTATTAGGAGGAATGAGGTAGATCTTTATATGTTATTACGGGACGACCTCTAAGATGAAACACCACGTGAAGAATGCAAGGTGCAGAGCACTTCGCAGGGCGTTCGAGCTGGGAAGGGATGTCTCTCTCCATGCCCCCGTCCCTCTCGCTTTGGCCTCTTACCTTCCTTTCTTCTTTTCTGGAAATGCCCCTAGAAGCTCATTAATGGTCCTCTCTGAGAGAGAGAAGAGGCAGTATGGGAGGCTGTTGTTTTTAACCACTTACACTTTTCTAACTATGTGCACATCTATTCCCTATTATTACTTTATTAAATGACATAGTTATTTCAGGGGTCAAAATATGCACAACTTTGGTTTGCATTTTATGTGTTCCTGTACAAACCCCAAAAAGGTTTCTTTTTTAAACAAAAATGTGGGAGGGATCAATTTTGGGTTAATGATAAGAAATGAAGCATTCCCTTTACATATCAAAACACTTCTACTTGTTTCTAAAGACATGGTAATAGAAAAAATAAATAAAAATCTTGTGCACGGTTCATCCACAGCATGTGGAAGGAGAGACTGCTGGAAGTTCCTGCTCCAAACCGCCCAAACCGCCTGAGGCTGGAGTGCCCTGATTCATCAACTTTCCTGTAAGTGAGGTCTCTTCTCTTAAGTCACACACACAGGTACTTGTGCACACACACACACACACCCTGAACACACACAAGCTTCCACCTTCCTCTAGTGCAAATAAATTCATGTGCATTACCCAGAAATGAGTGAGCTGGATGGCTGGAAAAACACACATGATTTATTTAACTCTGAAAATAAAATCTTCCCTCATGATGTTCCCATCTCAAGGGTTAGAAGCAAATTAAAAATCTCTAGGGGCTCAGAAGCCTTCTACAATTTTGAGGTCTGAGCAGCTGTTTGATGATACAATGGAACAGGAGAGGTCTTTCTTGGTGAATTACCTTCTGACCTCACTAAAAAAAATAAGAAAGAGAAGAGACAAAGTGATACTGTCAGCTAGGTAATCTAAGGGAAAGGCTGTATCAGCAGTTAGGTTTAAAAATTAAAGTTTCTCTTGTTTTCAAGTTGCTCATCTCCAGGGAATCCACCCATGGACTTTGAGCCAGTTTTCTGGGCTGTCCACGACAGGTGGACGGGCTCACGGCAGGCAGATTCTCAAAGGCCAGAACCTAGAGTTGCTGGCTTGTCAGTCACTGAAGGTCTGCCAGCTCCTCCCTATCCAGAGCCCTGCGGCCTGGATACCTGCCTGCCACTGGCCAGGTATCCAGAAAAGGGATGGGCCACATCACCCTCTCCTGGCACCTGGCATAGTAGGGACCAGAAGAGTTCCCAGTCCCCACTTCCTGGCCCTGACACACACAGAAAGGGCCTAGGAATATGCAGTATGTTCACTTGATGCTGTGCATTTGTATGGATGTGCACATTTCTAAGACTAATCCACTCCAGTGCATGTGAATCAGCTAACAATTATTTTTTTTAAAGTCCACATAAATGGCTTCACTTAGCTTTAGCTATTCTTTTGGGCTGTTAATTCTAGTAGAACTCTATTTGTCCTGTGGGTTCTGCAGAATAGAACAGATTTGCTCAACACCTCAGTGTCTGAGAGCAGCGGCATTTAGGAGTTATCTGGGATCCACCAGAGACACTCCATGGGGCCTGGTCCTTGTTCAGAATAAACAGAAACCCATGTCCCTTTGATTTCCTTGACAAGGTAGGTTTGCAGAAGTCAGTGAGGCTGGTAAAAACATCCTGAGCAAGACCCACAGTCTCTCTCTGTCTCTCTCTCTCTCTCTCTCTCTCTCTAACACAGAAACCACATAAAACTGCTTCTCTCTACCAACTGTCTTTGATAGAAAAAATAAAATAAAAGTTGAATTGCAGAAAAGCTAGCAGATTTAGTTTTGAGTTTTTTTAGTTTTAGTTTTTTGTTTTCCTTCCACCGGTAAATTATTGGAATGGATTTAGTGAGTCCGGTTTATTTTAGCTTCAATCTAGGTTTGTACACAGGCAAAAAGCAAATGTTGAATTTTCAGGTAGACCTTCATGGCAAGTGGCATGCAGACATGCAGAACCAGCTGTCCCGGCGGTGAGAAGCCACTGGGAGCTCTCTGAAGGGCTTTCCAGGCAGCGGGCTCACGGGCAGACTGACCTCTCAGAGGCCCTGCTGACCGACAGCCCGGACAGGCAAAGGGTAGGGGTCAGCCCATCTGAGAGTATTGAACCGAGGGCTGAGAGCCTATCACCTAACAAGGAAACCATAAGCAACGCGACTGACAGCCCTACGGGAACACCGGAGTTGCCACGTTTAACGCTGTCCTGGATTAGCACCCCCAAATCTCCCCAAGCCAAAGGCCTTGCCCATCTGTGCGTTTCCCACATGTACAGAACGAGGCGTGGCTACGCGAAGTCTTTGGACACGGCCTCCACGAAGTTGGGAGCCGACATGAGGATGCCGATGGTGCAGATGATGGTGAAGACCGAGAAGGCCATGAGGCACAGGCGGTCCACCACGCAGGCCGCGAACTTCCACTCGCTGCAGACCGCCTCGCTCTCGTCCTGGCAGCGGAAGCGGTTGGCGATGTAGCGGACCTCCTCCAGGATCTTGGCCAGGTCCGGGTCCCCCTCGGGGGGCTGCCCGCCGTGCAGGAGGTGCTCGTCGTGCGTGGGGGAGCAGGCCATGCGGCCGCACACCACCCCCGAGTCGGGGGTCGGGGCGCAGTGCACGCCGTCCAGACCGCGGAAGCCGATGTACAGCAGGTTCCCGTTGCTGGCGGGCGGCGGCGCCACCGCGCTCATCTCCACGCTGGCCAGGCTGCAGCGCCGCCGCACGTGCTGGCACGCCGGGCGCACCTTGTCCTCCCCCGGCCTCTTCATGCGCAGGAACCACGCGCACCAGTTCAGGAGGACGACTCTGGTCTGGGGAGACAACAGAACGTTAAGAGCGGGCCCCCAGGCGGGCATCGGCTGATCCCGACAGCAGCGAGATCCTACAGGACAAGGCCTGCTTCATGGGTCCTCGGGGGTAGCAGATGTCACAGCATCCAAAAAAATTAAAGAAAGAAAGAAAGAAAGAAATTAAAAAGCAGATGATTTTAGCAGGCAAGCAGCGCCTGCGCGTGACAAGCACTTAGTTCAACGTGAGGCGAGACTCAAACTGAGGCACCCTGAGAACAAGCTACATTTTTCTCCGGGGCAGGCATGCTGCAATCTCACGGACGATAGCCTCGTGGAAGGAGAAAGCTATCTGAGCTGTGTAAAAAGGGAAAGTCAGTTTCCCTTTCTGATCCTTGTTCATCTGTAACCCGGGGACCTTCAGACCTAACTCTGGCTCCCACACTACGTGTAAGGTGCTCTGGAAGGCCACTGCGAATTCACAGAGTCCTGGGAGGTCTGACGTTTTCAAATGCAACCCCAGGACATCCATAAGACACCAGGTGAACTTGAGGCTTGAAACAGTTCGGGCTTCCAACATCAGATTACCACATCTCTTATGATGTGACCACTTTGCAAAGCTGTTTTTCAAAGTTACCCTGATAAAAAGCAAATACCAAGGAACTTCATGTGAAATAGAAACTAGGTTAGTGGTCTCCAATCTGATCCTGAGTTTTGAGAGGCCCGGCTGGGCCCCGTAGGGGCTACATTGTTAAGGCATAAATACTTATTAAAGTGTTTTGATTTATTTAAAAAGAGAGTCTTGGGTATTACTTCTTTTGGCCAGGGGCTCTGTGAAAAATTTCCTGAGACACTAATGTGCTATGAACCAAGAAAGTTTTGGAACCTCTAACTTAGCTCACTAAGCTTCAATGAAGACTGAATAAGGTAATGTCTGGGAGAGTACTTTTTTTTTTTTTTTTTTTTCCGAGATGGAGTTTTGCTCTTGTTGCCCAGGCTGCAGTGCAACGGCAAGATCTTGGCTCACCAAAACCTCCACCTCCCAGGTTCAAGCGACTCTCCTGCCTCAGCCTCCTGAGTAGATGGGATTACAGGTGTGCACTACCACGCCTGGCTAATTTTTTATATTTTTAGTAGAGACAGGGTTTTGCCATATTGGTCTGGCTGGTCTTGAACTCTTGACCTCGTGATCTGCCTGCGTTGGCCTCCCAAAGTGCTGGGATTACAGGTGTGAGCCACCGCACCTGGCCCTGGGACAGTACTTTGAAAAGTTGAAAATAGAAGTCAGCAAACTTTCTGTAACGGGCCAGGGAGCTACTCATTTCTGCTGATGTAGCATGCATTGAAGGCGTCAAATGGATAGCCATGTTTTCTGAAATAACTTATTTACAAAACACTTGGTGGACTGGATTTGGCCACCTAGGCTAGTTTGCTAACTTCTGGTCTAAAGTGTGTCCTAGAGTGCATGAAACCTGGAGAAAAATAACCAGAGTTTATCCGGGTTTTGCCTCTCATGGAAAGAAGGGAGACATCAATCTAGGTCAAGAAGCATTCTTGCAAGCCTATTCAGGTAAGTGTGTGAAAAGTGGGCCCTTTCCCTGAAATTATCCAGATCCTGATTTCATTTACATTTTGTTTTATGATTGTGGGGAAATTCCATCAGTAACCCAGAAGGTATAGTTCCTATCTTTAGGAAATATACAGATAGTAAGTTGTGCAGTTCATATCTGCGGGGCTTTCATTCTTGGTAATCTTTTTATAACATCTTATCAAAAATAACTGCAACAAACAGGTTTGGGGACAAGAACAGGGAAGCCTAAGACCAGTTTCGTTGCAGCTATAAAGATAACCCTTTGTTTCCCATTGTACTTTACAAGCAGGTGGCAATCTGCATGTCCTGGAAAGGTTGGGTCTGCTGACCTTGGAGAGCTTTTTAGGATCAGTAAGGAGTGGGCACATATGACCACATGTGAAACCTTGGATGAGCTGGGTCCTCCATGCAAGGCTCATGAGACAAGTCATCTCACTTGGGCCTTTCAGGGTCCTGTAAAATGAGTATAATCCCCCCACTTTACAGACCAACAAAGTGAGGTTCAAAGAGGCTAATAAACCGGCCCAACGACATACAATGAGTAAGTAAGTGGTTATGTCACTTAACATGTTTAGCCTTTCCCAGCCTCATCTGTAAAAGAGTCTATGAAGTTCTCTTCAAGACTCATGCACCTTTAGCCCAACCCCTCTGGGAATGCACCAGAAAGCCTGAGCCAGCTCCCCGGGGAGGCTGCAGGGCCATGAGTGTGCCTGCATGCAGTGGCAGCTGTGCACACAGGGAGCGAGCAGCAGCAGGCACTTCTCCCTCTGTGGCAGGGTCTACACGTCTCCTGGTGCACATCTCAAGCTCACAGGATCCACACTGCCAAGTCTATTTTGAATTCCATGGCCTGAATCATTAGCTTTCAAAGCCAAAGCACTTAAAAGATAAAATTATCCTCTTGGTCGTGCTCTTGACCTCTTCTGTTAGGCTACAGTTTTGTTTCTGGCTGTGCAAATGTCACATAATGCCACTGCACCTGGCAGTATTTTCTTCATAGCAACAGATCATAATAAAAGTCCCTCGGAGGCTGTTTATGTTTCAAATACACGTAGAATGAATGAAAAATGCAGTGTGTTATGTAAAGCAGGAGAAATGTATAAGCTTCATCTTTCATTTGCAGCCAACTGGTTTTAATAAGCTTTTATGCTGAGAGGTGAATATGCTCTTAATTAAGATTTTTTCTGGAGCAGTGGAGTGCTCCAGGTCATTAAAAATGGTTTTGTGTCTCAATGTCTTAATTCTCTTATCTTCTCTTCGGTCAAAATACTTATAAGAAATAAGAAGTGTTTAGGTTTTTGTATTTGCATAAACAAATACTGGAAGGAAAAAGAAGGAATTCATTCAAATGGTTATCAATACTGGTGGCAGATGCAGGGTAAGGGGCAGGAATGGGAGCAGGATTTCCTTATGTATAATTGTAACCTTAATTTTATTTTGACTTTAGAAACCCGTAAATGTATTACCTGCTTCAAACTGATTGATGGACAGACAGAGAGACCAGCAAAGAAACAAGGTCCCCAGCTCTCAGGGCTCCCACCTCTGGCCTTGCGTTTTCCTAAGTGTGTCAGGGTTATAAGGAAGTCAGACAAAAATACAGGTGAATGTGTGCAAATGTACCCCAGTGTTTAAAGGCAGGGGGTCTTCACAAAACAAACCTCAGGGACCACAGTGATGTGGTCTGTGTGTGAGATGTCACATGTAGGCTAAGCTCACACTACTGCTGGTGCAATGAGCTAAAAGTGAGTCTTTTTTTTTTTATTGCATTTTAGGTTTTGGGGTACATGTGATGAACATGCAAGATTGTTGCATAGGTACACACCTCGCAGTGTGCTTTGCTGCCTTCCGTCCCCTCACCTGTATCTGTCATTTCTCCCCATGCTATCTCTTCCCACCTCCCCACCCCCCCGCCCCTCCCCCATTTTCCCCTGAGTCTTTTTTTTTTTTTAAGAGTTGGGGTTTCACTTTGTCACCCAGGCTGGAGGGCAATGCATCATGATAGCTCACTGCAGCCTGGAGCTCCTGGGCTCACGTGATCCTCCCACCTCAGCCTCCCAGGTAGCTAGGACTACAGGCACGTGCCACCATGGCCAGCTCACAATTAAGTCTTTACTAAATAGTGTATGAGAGGAATGGGCCATGTGGGTAAACCTCTGAGAAGAAACGTTAATTTTGTAAAGCATTTCTTAAGAAGTTGCTAAGTGAGCATTTGAGTGACTAAACTACCGCACAATGAATGTTTCAGGAGGCCCAGAAATCCCCTATTCCTGGAGGGCACCTGACTGCATCTCACCCCTTACAGTTTCATCTTGCTTACTGGTGATTCTTAGATTCCCTTCTGAACTGAGACGCAAGTGGTCTCCAAGGACAGGCAGCACTTGGGATGTGAGGGCATTTTGAGCTCCCCAAATCCTTAAGCCTGGCTCTCTAGACCGGAGGACGGGGAAGCTTTACAGAGCCCACATGAAGGGAGGAAGCGTGGGCCAGAGCACCTTTCCCTGGCATTGGGTTTGGTTTCTGTGGGGTGGGGAATGCTCAGGCCCTCCCTAGGCCCTAATCAACGTTTCCTGACTGCCAGGCGAGGGTGGGTACAGAACTCTGGACATCGGACACTGCAGGAGAGGAACCCTGGATGGGTGAGCACCCATAGATGTGGCGAGCATGGTGCCAGCAGCTGGGGCAGGGGTGGCATGGCCCAGGCTAAGCTCAAAGGCTGTGGGATGCAATGCTTTATGTTTCCATCCGTTCCCTTTTATCCCCTCCCTCTTCCCCACTGGTGACGACTAGTCTTTGTTTTACAGACTTCTGGTTGGATGATATCCCTGTAAGTACTGCATGTACATATTTGTACATGGCTCATTCTGTTTCTTACTCTTTCCACTCCTCATTCTGTTGTGAGGCCTCAACCATGCTGCTACGCGTCTGTCTCATCTGTTGCTTCCAACTGCAGCACAGGGCTTCATGGCGTACATCAAAAAAAACCAAAACACTGTGCTAGAAGAACACACAGAGCAGCCAGTCTGAGAGCCCGACTCTCAGCGTCAGATTAGACAGCAATGCCATGGGGCATCCAAGACACATGCACCACGGCTGCACGCTACACAAAGACACGCCAATGGGTGATGAAATACAAAAACAAAGCTATTTCTTTAGGAATGCCCATTTTTTTGTGTGATTTTAAAAACTGATAAACCCTAGGAGATGCCTCCTTTAGGGAGGGGCTCCAATTCCATCAGGGGTGGGAGGAACATACCCACTTGGGCATCTTGCCCCCATCGGGGTCGTGGTGGTGGTACTGCAGCACTATCACCGTCACCACCACCGAGAGGCCCACGATGATCATGGTGCTGGCGAAGTACTGTGCTGTGGAGAGAACAGATACAGGGTGAGACCCGGGGCTTCTGCAGCACTGAATGTCACAAGACAGGCACAGCCTGACCAGGTTCTCTGACTGTCAGGGCCTCGGGGTGCAGTGATACCCATGTGCTAGGCAAACAGCCTCCTGCCACCGGCCAGGTCTGCAGCCCACATTCTAGGTGGACGAAACCAGCCAGTGTGGTCTGACTTCCTGCCCACGGAGTGGCCTTCCCTCACTCACTGCACTTCCATGCACTCTGGCCTCCCTGTCAGTCAATAAGAGCTAGCATCGCCTGGCAGGATGGTGAGAAGGTTGCTCCTGTGAGTCAATCCTGGATGTGAGGGTATGCAAACCACCCAGTGTTTATGCTGCAGGCCTCCATGGTGCTCCAGAGATACAACAAGGGCAAACCACCTGCATACCACCTGGCTGCCACCTGTCCAGCCCGAGGAAGGGGTCAGTGGCAGGGACTTTTCAGGACAAGAACTTCAGCCTCAGCTTTGGCTCTGATGGGCATCGGTGTCCTTCCACCTGGGCCCAGGTGAGAAGCAGCATGGAGCATCTGAGTGCTTCCGCCCTGGTCCACTGGCTACCAGCTGTGAGTTTGGAGTGGATGCTCAGCCTCTTTGGGCCTTGGCTCTTCAATGGGGATTGGGCAAAGGATGATGTTTGTGTCCCCACAAAGTTCATGTGTTAAAACCTTAGTCCTAACTAGGATGGCATCTGGAGGTGGGGCTTTGGGAGGTAGGAGACTGTGATTTATAACAAGAAATAGGTATTTGGTCTTCCTCCCATTTCCTGGCACACGGCTCCTAAAACCTTTGAATCGCTGAAGTCATCAGTGTCTTTTTATATGCTAATAAGATAACTTATGGCTGTGGTTCCTGGATAGTTTCAGGACGGGGGTTGGTTGCCAGGGAACCAGCCAATTAATTAGAGAGTTGGACCCTTCAAGCCCTGTCCCTCTGCCCAACCCTTGACCCCTGGGGAGGAAAGAGGTACTGAGGGTTGAGTTGATCCCTGGTGGCCAGTCACATAATCAATCATGCCTATGTAGTGAAGCCTTCATAAAAACCCAAAAGCATGGAATTCTTCAGAGACTTGCCCAGTGCTGAACATGTGGAGGTGTTTGGAGGGCGATGTGCCCAGAGACGGCACAGAAGCTCCATGCCCCTTCCCAAATACCTTGCCTTATGCATTTCTTTCATCTGATTATTCTTCATCTGTACTTTATAATTAATGAATAAAGGTATCTAAAGTGTTTCCCTGAGTTCTGTGAGCCAATCTAGTAAATGACTGAACTCAAAGATGTGGTTTTGGGAACTCCCCACCGATTTATAGACAGTTGGTCAGAGGCATGGGAAGCCAGCACTTCTCATTGGCATCTCAAGTAGAGATGGTCTTGAGCCTTAATCTGTGAGTGCCATGCTAACTCCAGGTAGTGTCAGGACTGAGGTGAATTGCAGGACACCCAGCTGGTTTCCAATAATTGGTCCACGTGGGAGAAAAGCCCCCATTTGGTGTCAGGAGTGTTGTGTAAGTAGAGAAATGGTGAGTGATCTTCTCAGAGGACTTGAAGAGGTCTGAGGGATTAGAGTCCTTCATAAAAGGAGGCTAAAGAACTAATTCACTCTCTGCCACATAAGGCCACAGCGAGAAGAGGGCCATCTGTAAACCAGGGAGTGGCCCCTCACCAGAGCCCTGCTGGCACCCTTATCTAGGACTTGCAGCCTTGCAGAACTGTGAGGAATAAATGCCTGTTGCTTAGCCTCGAGGCTACAGCAATTTGTCATGGTAGCCTCCACTAAAATAAACAGGAGCCCCTTCCTTGCAGGATTTGCACAATGATTAGCAATTACATGGGCCAAAATATCTAAGAGAAAGGAGGTGGTGTTCTTCAGTGGACAGCTCTGATTATCAAGCCTTTGGTGTGGCTGTGGGCTCAAGGGGCTGAGCTCTAAGGGAAAGCATTTTGGTGCAGGAGTCTAAGTGTTCAGCTGGCCAAGAACACCACAGGCCCTCATGCCAGGAAGGACTCACTGACTTCCTACAGAGACCAAGAGGTACCTGGGAGACCTCTGCCAGAATGTGGAAGTTCGAGACCTAAAGTTACTGTCAGGGCCCCCGAGGAAAGGAAGGAGACTGGAGCAAACTGTGACACTTATGAGCTGAATTGTGCTTCACCCTAGAATTCATATGCTGAAGCCCTAACCCCTAGTACCCTAGACTGTGGCTGTACTTGAAGATGGGGTCTTTAAGGAGATGATTAAGTACAATGAGGTCATCCGGGTAAGCCCTATCCGATCTGACTGGTGTCCTTTTAAAGAAGAGGAGATTTGGACACACAGAGAGATACTAGGGATGCAGGTGCAGTGGAACTACCAGGAGAGGACAAAGCATTGAGGAAGTGGTTGTCTGCAAGCCAGGGAGAGAGGTCTCAGGTTAAACTATCCCTGCTGGCCGCTTGGTCTTGGACTTTCAGCAGTGCAGCTGTGAGAAAATAAATTTCTATTTAAGCCCCCAAGTCCATGGTATTTTGTCAAGGCAGGCTGAGCAGACCGACCACCTATGGAGAGATGGGCGTCAAAGGATTGCTCGGAGTGAAATTCTATCAACAGAGGGCAGCAAAGCTGACGTCCCTGAGGCCATCAGCACCCCATCCCTCCAGATGTGGGCTACACACCAACCAAGCCTTTCCCAGCGGGTAATCAGTCCAGAGAGGGCCTGACAACTGCCTCAGGAATGGTGGCTGCAAATCTCTACTGAAAGCAATGTGTTGGAGGGTAGAAAGAATGGAGTCAGACCCAGGTGGAAAGGTGGTTCTTTCCTGCCTGAATGGTACCAAAAGAAAAATGATACCCACAAAACTTTTTGTACCAACAGTTTCTCTGGCCAAAATATTACACATACAGGGAGTTCCACAAAGAAGGGCCTTGGCTGCCTGGTTCCTAAATCCTGGGGGTATCCAGGTAGGGCTCTGCCTCCAGCCCACCCCCAGGTAGACACACAGCACGGGACCTCGAGCGGCAGGGGCTAGCAGGTGTAATGACATTCTGTATACTCCTTCTGACCTTCCCTGCCCAATGGGAGTGGGGACTCTAGGTTTTGTTTTTCCTCCCTGGGCAGAGGGTCATGCCTTATACCTGTGCAAACTATATTTTTCTCATCCATATTTCCCTAAACATTTTTATGTTATACAGAGATGCTGTGTTATCTCAGGACACCATAACTGTGTGCTTCTCCCATTTTAACAACGAGTTTGTGGGAAAACAACACCTTAAGCCAAAATGATGCATCTCTAATGATAAAATACCTGGCTTCAAAGCAAGTATGAGGAGAAGAATTATGATGCAAAGGGGGGCGTGTCTGCAAGTCAAAGCCAAATCTCAAAACTGAATATCCCCTTTCCCTTACTTGGGCCCATGTGCCTCTGAGTAGTGACAGCAAATCATCACCTTCCAGACAAAATGGGGGCAGCACAGCCATATTTCTTCTAGTTTCATCTGCTGGGAAATCCTAGGCACTCTCTAAGCCTGTATCTCTAAGAGAGTGCTCGACTCTTGCCTTACCTATCAATGGCACTGAATCGGATGTTGCGGGCATGATCTCAGCCACAAGCAGCATGAAGACAGTAAGAGAGAGCAAGACTGTTATCCCTAAAACACAAACACACAGCAGTTCCTCAGACAAAACAGACAAAAAGGCCTCAATTCTGTCTAACAAGGGCTCATAACCTGACACTCAAAGAACTAGGAAGGTGCTGGGGGGAACGTCATGGAATGCATGTGCATTTTCCTGGGGACAGTCCATGCCACTTATCAGAGTCCCAAAGGAGTCTCTTACAGAGACAAGTTCAGGACCCAGAATTTCAGAAGCAACAACTGAAAATTTTAACTTAGCACAATTATCTCTCATATTCTTTGTTAAATATTATTGAGAAGTAGTTTCATGTAACAGGGAAAAGAAAATCTGCAGTCAGGAGACCTGGTTTCAGGTTTTAAGTTTGCTACTCAGCTAGCTACATGACCTTACATATCACATTCAACCTTGCTGAGCTTCATACTCAGAAGATACGGGTTTGGAAATGATTTCTACCATATGCTACATCTGATGTTTAGTCACTCTTTAAGACATTGAGAAACTCATTCCACCACTCGAAATCTTGGTTTTCTTAGCTTCATACAGGAATGATCATAAGAATTACACTGTACTGCAACATACAAATGCAAGCTGATACCGAGCTAAATTGTTTCCTTGGTGACCAGTCACTATCAAGGAACAGGTGGGATGGTAAGAGGGAAGAAAGTATAGGTCGCTTGGGGCAGAATGGAGCTGGACCCTCCCCATGCATCCCCCATCCTCTGAGGGTCCTCCAATATTCTTAGGGCCACACAGCCATCCAGTACAGAGCCTGAATCAGGGACCCCTGGTGTCTTGGAGCCAGCCTGAGCTAGGAGGTCCATGTGGGATGAGCCTGGCAAGCCCCAGGAACCCTGATGGAGTCCTGTGCTGTCTGCTGTGAGCCCTGCAGAGCTGACCTCAACAGAGGGCCTCCAGTCTCAGACTCCCACCAGAGACCTGGCACTCACCCAGGGAAATCTTCTCCCCAGAATCTGCAGGAAGCAGAAACACCAGCAGGGCGAGGGCGGAGATGAGTACGCAGGGGATGAGCAGGTTGAGGCCATAGTAGAGGGTCCTGCGGCGCATGGTCACCGTGAAGGTGACGTCGGGGTAGGGCTCTTTGCAGCACTCATAGAACTTTTCACTCCTCTTGCCAGGGATTCCTCCATAGGAAGGAGGAGAAAAGGAGCCATTGTTAGAATACAATACATTACCCTGTTGATTTCAATGTGTATACCACACACAAGCATAGCTCTAAAGTTTGCAAAGTGCTAAAAAAAAAAAAAAAGAAAAGAAAAGAAAAGGAGGGGGGGCATAATTAGCTTGAATAAAACCTTGTTGATTTACTATCTTAGTGATACTTGGGCAAATTGGTAGACATTCTTTTGATGGATTGGAAACATACAATCACAAATGATACATTACCAATTTTACACTATTATAAATGTAATCATTTATAACATTTATAAATGTAATCATTTTCTACTTAAAATGATCAAACACAAGTTCCCATCAGCTGAAATTTGCTGTTCAACTTGCTTTTAGAAATGGAGTGGATCTGAGTAACACAGCGATCTCCAACCTCACACTCGTTTGTTGAAATGCGTCCTCACTCTAGTTGCCAGTTCCTCTTGGAAAGCATGGCATATCCTAACTGTTTTCTGTTTCTCCTCCTAGAGCTCTCACTCAATTATGGAGACTACTGCAAAATTCAATAAATGCTCACACCAAAAAGGACAGTGGAAAATCCCAAACTGCTAAAGCTTGCCCAGGAATAGAAAAGCTTTCTTCCTGGCTGTTTGTCTCATGGCTTACCCACGAGGTCCCATTCTCCATTGGGGATATAGCCACTGATATCTGCCTCCTGCATCTGCAGATCCAAGGACCAGCCTCCGTAAGACCAGGACCCGAACTTCAGTTTGCAATGCTGCACATCAAAGGGAAACCAGCGTACATCGATGTAGCAGGAACTCTTGAATATGCCTGTGTGGGTGATGGAAATAGAAGGCTGAAACGGAAGCTGGCTGAGATGTGCTCAAAATACATAGCAGTTCCTTCAGGCAGTTCCACCCCTCCACACTGCAGATAACCCAGGCCAGAGAAAACGGAATCTGTCTTTTTATTTATTTATTTATTTATTTATTTGAGAAATCTTTCAAACAGAATCCCAGCTAAGCATCGCCGTCTTTTAAAATCCAAATGTAACACTGATGTGCTCTGTCAAAGACTGTGCTGTGAACTTTTCGTGCAAAAAGTTAGCTCTATAATCTTGCGTTTACCATGAGCATCTTCTGATTCTAAATAATAGAAGAATGCAAAATATCTCAGAGAAGTTGATAACGAGGATGAGGTTGGAAACAGAATCTAAAAGGGGTGTGTGTGTGTTTGATGCAGAGTGAGGTAGGCATTTTCTGTAGGTTTAATATGGGAGAACACATGGTTATCTAGAAATTTAATCCAGAATTCTAGTTAAAGCTAGAATTTTAACTAATTTAAATTCTAGATCAAGAACAGAACAAGCTGGGCAGTGTGTCATGCCCGTAATCCCAGTGACTTGGGGCACTGAGGTGGTAATATCAGTTGAGCCTAGGAGTTTGCGACTGGACTGGCAACGTAGTGAGACTTCATCTCTAATTTAAAAATTAGCTGGGTGAGGTGGTGCATGCCTGTAGTCCCAGCTACTGGGAGTTGGAGGCTAAAGTGACGTGAACTATGATCGAGCCCCTGAACTCCAGCCTGGGAAACACACCTAGAACCTGCCTCTAAGAAAAAGAGTTAAAAAGAATAAGAACTGATAGGTTTAAGCAGAAGAGATGGTGCTTGCAGGAAGAGTTTCAGGTGAAAAGGGCTATTCCAGGCTGGGACAGGTTGGAAGCAAATTTCGGAGGAAACCAGAAGAGGCCACTCCAGTTATTCACGCCCATGTGCTCTTCCCAGCCCAGAGCAAGGCTGCATGGCACAAGAAGACGGGCACAGACTCAGTGTCCTGGTGCTCCTGGGGCAGGGCTGGCACTCTGCAAACTTCTGCTACTGAATTACAGAAAGAATGCATGGAGGAAAGGCCTCAATGGCCTTGCAAACAAGGACCCCACCCCACCATCAAATCCAGAAAAGATACCCATTTTGTACCCCGGACTTCCTAAGTATGATTTCCACCCTCACGCAAAACGTTTACAGGAATCTGGACTCCTCGGAGACATTCCCCTCCATTAATGACTGGATCCCCAAAACCCACACTGTCTGCCAGTTGGAAAGCTGTGTAACCTCATGAGTCCATTTCTACAAAGTGGCCCAAGAGAGAGAATTTCTAGACAGAAAGCTGATCAATGGTTGCTGCGAGTGGGAATAGGAATTAACTGCATACAAGTGAAAGGGATCTTTATGGGGTGATGGGAATGTTCTAAAACTAGACTCTGGTAATGGTTGCATAATTCTGTAAATATACTAAAAATTGTTGAATCGTGTACTTAAAATGCATGATATGTAAATTCTATCTCAATAAAGCTGTTAAAAAATAAACACATGAAATGAGGGGAAAGTCATGTTATGATCAAGTCTCTATTTCAAAGCCTGAACTCCAAACCTTCTTTTCCACCCATGCCCCTCTAACTGCAGACAGGGCAGCATCCTGGGACTAGTTCCACACCCCCAGGGTGCAGGTGGGGGTCCCAAACCAGGCAGCTCTGGGCCTTTTCTGCCACTGGAAGGAAGCCCCTCATGGTCACAGGACAATGTGTCCTGTCCTGACCAGGATCCAGGGCCACACTGTGGTGGGGACACAGCCCCAGCGGGGGTGGCTGCACTCAGAGAGCTAGAGGCTTGGGGTGCCGCTCCTGTAGCTGAAAATAGCCTCAGCCTTCCAAACAACCTGCAGCAGCATCTTCTACACTGGTGACTACCCGAGGCTGTTTTCTAAAATAGCCCTCAGAACAGAAGCTGCAGCATGCAGGCCTCGTAAGAAAGACCTTGGGAGTGAAGGAAGGCTCCCCCGACTGCCCCCATCTGCAAAGAACCTGCTGGTAGGAGGAAACACCAGGGCTGGCAGGAAAGCGGATGCTTTAAGAAGCCTGAACATCTGAACTTCAGTCTGTTCCAACATTATGGGAGGTGCTACCACTGACAGGTTCACTCGCTTCTTTGTTCATTCAGGGGTGGACGCTAAGGTGAGCAAAGGCGGACTCTGACCCCAGGATGCTTGTCACCTGCTGACAGGGAGGGCGTGCAGACGGCAACCCAGAAGGCAGAGTCAGCCTAGCCAAGGCAGTGTGGTGAGTGCGGGCGCATCTCCAAGGTGGTGTGAGATGTGTGTTACGGTGTGTAGTGTGAGTCTGAGAGTGTATGAGGTGTGTATGTGGTGTGACACATGTAAGTGTGCAAGGCGTGTGTATGACGATGTGTGGTATGAGATGTGTATTACAGTGTGCAGTGTGAGTCTGAGAGTGTATGAGGTGTGTATGTGGTGTGACATGTAAGTGTGCAGGGCGTGTGTATGACGATGTGTGGTGTGAGATGTGTATTACAGTGTGTAGTGTGAGTCTGAGATTGTATGAGGTGTGTATGTGGTGTGACATGTAAGTGTGCGGGGCGTGTGTATGATGATGTGTGGTGTGAGATGCATATGTGCATGTGAGAGTTTAGCTGATGTGAGAATCTGAGGTGTGTGGGGGTATGTGAGTGTGTAGGAGTGTGTGTGATGTCTGCCTGTATGTGAGCATGGGAGTGTAAGTGTGTGGTGCGTGTGTATGTGGTGTGTGAGATGTGTATGAGTGTGTGGTGAATGTGAGAATGTATGAGGTATATGTGTGTGAAAGTATGTGTGGTGTGAGCATGTGTGTGGTACATGAGTGGTGTGAGTATAACTGGTTTGAGTGTGTGTGTGCATGTGTGTGTGAGTGGTGCTTGTGTGGTATGTATGTCAGTGGTGCGTGTGTGTAGTGTCTGCACGTGAGTGGTGTGTGTGTCTATGGCATGTATACATATGTGTGGTGTGTCTGGGTATGTGTGAGGGGTGTATGTATCTGTATAAGTGTGTGTGCAAGTGTGAAGGATGTGTGTGAGTGGCATGTGTGTACATGTCTGAGGTATGTATATGTGTGTGTGGTTTGTGTGAGTGGTGTATCTGTGTGTGCATGTGTGTGATGGGTGTGAGTAGTGTATCTGTGTGTGCATGTGTGTATGCATGGGGGGTGTGTGAGGGGCACGTGTGGTGAGTGGTGTGTATGAGAGATGTGTGTGAGGTGTGTATGTGTAAGTGCTGTGTAAGAGGTGTCTGTGTGTGAGATGAGCGGTGTTTATGTGAGTAGTGTGTAAATAGTGTGAGTGGTGTGTCAGTGGTGTGTGTGAAGTGGTGGATGCTGGGTGTATAAGTGGTAGGTATGAGTGGTGTGTGAGTGGTGTCAGTGGTGTATGTGTGTGAGTGGTATGTATGGAGTGGTGAGTGGCTGTGTGAGTGGTGTGTGTGAGGGGTGTGTGAGTGGTGTATGTGAGTGATGTGTGACAGTGTATGTGTGAATAGTGTGTTAGTGTGAGTGGTGTGTGTGTGTGTCAGGAGTGTGTGGTATGTTTTCGTGGTGTGTGAGTGGTGTGTGTGGTGTATGTGAGTGGTGTGAGTTAGTGTGTGTGAGTAGTGTGTGTGCTGTGTGTGTGAGGGGTGTGTGGTGTGTGTGAGGGTGTGTAAGGTGTGTGTGTGAGTCATATGTGTGAGTGGTAGTGAGGTGTGGAGGTAATTGCAGGTTGCCTCTCAGCAGAAAGTTAAATAGCTGCAGTGTGGGAGATAACCCTGGAATAAATACATTAAAAATCCTCTAAAAGATCAAAAACCCCAACTGTTCATATCAATAGGTCAGCACCCACCCCACATGCACCTCAAGGCCATAAACCCATCTCCCATGCTGTGTGAACTGGACTGAAAAGCAATCTGGGAGCACTTAGCCGTCGAGGTGGAGAGAGGGGAGACACAGCTGGGAAGAAGTCAGTCGCTAGCAAGCTCTCCCTTGAAACCACCAGACCTTGCCTGTGACCTGCGTGTGCTCTTTAGCGCACACACTCAGGATCCTGGAACTGTCATATTCCACCCCTGCAGCTGGAGCGCTGCATTGTCAAGGCACTGAGTCCCACGGGAAGGAGGATGGTGAGCTGGAATGGAGAAGCAGAGCCTGGAGAGGTGGCCTGCAGGCTGGCAGGCGAGGTGGCCGCTGCCTGGCAAAGGAAGCTTGCTGTACTTGTGCATTGGCTTTAAGGCGCACACGGCAGAAAATAAGGACCTATGACACGCACTGGCAAAGGCAGCTGGACTGAGACAAAGGAGGGGGATGGACTTCTAAGGGTAGAAAGCACATAGAAGCACAGAAGAGAGAAGAAGAGGTGGGAGTGAGCAAGGGTGAAGCAAAGAGCTGGTCCACCACACAGGGGCACCCACCAGACTGACGCCCAAACTCGCTTCAATCTTCTAACTGCAAGAAGACAAAGGAAGTGTAGCTTACCTGGAGGCAGGTACTGGCAGTGCCCGGAAGAATTCACCAAGACGTTGGTGTGGAATGTGGCGTCAAAGCGCTCATCGGCACTAGAAACAGGAAAAGGACTGCATGAGCCAGTGCCACCAGGCTGCGGATTTCCCGAAGCCCTGGGGTCTGTCTTCGCTGGAGCAGCAGAGACCTTGAGAGGGGCCCCTGTCTGTCCTCACAGCCCCACACCCCACCTGAGAGCACCACTGGCACTGGCCTGGGAGGTCTTCGAGGAGCATAGCTGGGAAGGAGCCAGTGTCCACCTCCATTTCCATTTTCACACCGCACTGTGATTTTTCTCACACTGTATACAAAATAAAGCTCTTAACCAAAGTGAAACCTGTAAACAACTTTGGAGGACACTGGAAGATGCGACATTTTCATGACAGCTAGAAGAAGAGAGGGTGGGGGAAGCACACTGCCATCCTGTGCGCCCCATGGGGCAGGAATTTTCCCTCGCTGTGCTCAAAGCTCTAGTTCCCACCTCTTGAAGGGGGCCCACACTTGGTTAGTGCTTCACATTTACATCTTCAATGAGGGAAATTACAGTTGCAGTGGGGAGCTGGACACCACAACCCCAGAGGGTTCCCGGCTCCACAGTTAGTGATGAAAAGGAGAGTGGGTGAAGACAACAGAATTAAGTGTGAGTTTTAGATGGACACACCTCTGCCCCTCCCCAGCCTATGTTCCAGCCTCCTGAAGCCAGGAGTTAACAACTGGGTTAAAGGACACACACATACACATACAACTGGGCTAACGGACACACAGACACACACACACACACACACACACACACACACACACACACACACACACACAGAGCAGCAGCAGCAGCAATTACACCAACAGCCTGTACTAGCCTTAGCTTCTTCTATTTTCTGGATTCTGATGCACTGACATCTGGGGCCTTGCTGACTCTGGAGAGACCCTGAAGGGATTGTCAATTTACTGAGAGAGTCAACAACTTCAGCCTTTCAAACACAAATCAGTCAATCCAGAACCACCACCCAAAGACATCCTTTATCAGGCTGTCACACGGAGGTTGTCCCCAGTCCTGCCTCATCACCACAGGACCAGGTACCAGCCAAGCAGGGAGAGTCCCTATGCCCCAGGGCCTGCTGACATTATTCTAAGGAGCCAATCCTAAGCCTGAGCCTGCACACCCTGCTCCTCCTTTCCTTCCCGCAGAAGCTACAGTGAAGCAAGGCCCGTGCTCAGGTTTCCCGCACTCTGCCTTCCATGCGGCCCTGGAGCTTCCCTGTATCCTCGCATGCTGCACTGTGCTTCTGCTTCTAAGGAACTGTGAGTAAAACCATTTTCCTTCAAGACAGTCACTTCTGTGTCTGAGTGTCTCACCATGCCTGATTAAAACCAGCCCCAGGTACCTTTAAAACACAGCTCTACAGATAAAGAAAAATAAACCACCTCAAGAAAACACTGGCAGCCAGTCAAGGTCCCAGCACCCCAGAGTAAAGCTCCCCTCATTTTGACCACCGTGGCCCCTGCAGGAGCTGCCCACGACTACGAGCCTCAAGCCTCAGGGAGCCTCTCCCATGTCTGAGACCCTCCAAAGGGGAAACTCGGAATCACAGATACCGGAGGACAGTGTCCAGTATGGGATACACAATGGAGGGCACACGCCGAGAAGGATCCCAGAAGAATGAGTCAATGAAAAGAAGAACAAAATCACTTCTTAAAAAAGGCCAGGTGCAGTGGCTCATGCCTGTAATCCAAGCACTTTGAGAAGCCAAGGCCGGCAGATCATGAGGTCAAGAGATCGAGACCATCCTGGCCAACAGGATGAAACCCCATCTTTACTAAAAAAAAAAAAATGTACAAAAATTAGCTGGGGGTGGTGGTAGGTGCCTGTAGTCCCAGCTACTCAGGAGACTGAGGCAGGAAAATCGCTTGAACCTGGGAGGCAGAGGTTGCAGTGAGCTGAGATCGGGCTACTGCACTCCAGCCTGGTGAAAGAGCAAATCTCCATCTCAAAAAACAAACAAAAAAAAGTGACGTCCTCACAAAATTCAACAGGATGTCACAATTAGTTAGAAAAACAGAGAGCAAATGGAAATTAAAGGTATGGTTTATGAAATAACTTTTTGTGAATGGGCAGGAGGCTTGGCTGATAGAAATCACAGAGATGAAATGTAACACAGAAGGAAGATGGCGCAGAGGACAAGGCGGGGGGATCTCAGCTCACTCACAGAAGCCCCATCCGGGAGAGGGGGAGGGAGAAAATTACCCAAGAAATAACACAGAGACACTTCTCACAGCAGAAAAACCACCCAGGCACGAAGACAAAAAAAAAAAAAAAAAAAAAAAGGTTTTCAAGAACATTAAGGCCTTGAGGAGCTTGTTCCCAACATATATTTTTTTTGGTCAGCTTTGGAACAATGAGAGTGAAAACTGAGAAAGAAGAAATACACTTTTAGACTAAACCTGGAGATCGATAAAAGAGATTTAGATGATGAGTTGTGCAGGAGGCCTAGAAAAGGGTGGGTCCAAATCCCAGCAAGACCTTCAGGTCCTCAGGACGGAACCAAATGGGTTCAGAGCAAAAAAGAGGAGATATACTGAGCTGAAAAATATGATGGTCTTGATTCAGGACACATTTTTTGAAGTTCTTGGAATAAGAAAAAAGGCAACCAGAAACTCTAGGAAAAAATAAATAATTGTATAAAGAAGTCATGATCTGAATTTGAATATAAAACAAAAAATGTAATGAAGTTTAAGGGAAGGAAGAAAGGGGAGAAGGGGGTAAACGGCAAGAGAGGGAGAGAGGCGGGAGCGAAGCTGTCATGAAAGGACACATACGTGCCCCCTTACTTCCAAACACACGTAGGGAAAGAGAGAGGACGAGGTAGGACCAACATGTAAATATTTGTATCTGACTGTGAATAAATCACCTTATAAACAGTGGGCACAAAACAGCCGAAAATGTGGACCTGCACAGCCTCACTCTGGAGAGTTTCACGATCTTCAAGCTAGGTTCTCCGGAGCCCTAAGATCCTGCGGAGGTACCTCAAGGTTTCTGAAAATATTCACCTCCAATATTTTAGTGCCTTCGGATTTGACAATAGTCATAAAAGTCACACACTCAAACGACTATTAACAAAATTTTAACTCTTAGAGACTACCATTATGTTCATTTATGTGTCCTGTTTAACTTCTTTTTGCCTGAAAGTTAAACTAAAGTTTATCTGGCCATGAATGTGCACACATTTGAATCCTTATAAAGGAGTCACTGCATGAGATTTCGGTTTTTCATAAAAAATTAAGTCTATGCTTCCAATTACATGGCATCTAACCCACACTGGATGTGGGATGCATTCCTCCATCCATCACTCTTAGCAGCAGCAACATAGAAAGCATGGCTGGGCACAGTGGTTCACACCTATAATCTTAGCACTTTGGGAGGCCCAGAGGGGAGGATTATTTGAAGCCAGGACTTTGAGACCTGACTGAGCAACAAAGCAAGACCCCATCTCTACAAAAAAAATATATATATATATACAAAATCAGTGCAGTGGTATGAGCATATAGTTCCAGCTACTCAGGAGGCTGAGGCAGGAGGATTAGTTGAGTCCAAGAGTTTAAGACTGCAGAGCTATGTTTGCACCACTGCACACCAGCCTAGGAGACAGAGTGAGACCCTGTCTCTAATACATAAAAAATATTTTTGAAATAAAAATAAATTTAAAATGTTAAAAGAATAGTGTGATTTGATACATGTTATGAGGAACAAAGTTTTGCTTATTTTAAGCTTGGGTTTCTTCCTGTCTGATTTTCATATTTATAATCAAGATGAAGCATCTGTTAGATCAGTGATTTAACTCTGAAAAAAAAAAGTTCCTACAAGCCTTTCTTTCAAGCATTTGGATCAATTTAATTGAAGAGACTCTCGAGATCACAAGGCAAATAGGTAAAAACAAGATAAAAAAAACTGTTGCTATTAGCAACAGCTTACCTATGTGATTCAGTGATTTCTGAATGTTGTTCATCCAGACAGAATATTGAGCTACATGAAATTGTAACACATAAATGTTATCAAAATCCAAATCTTAATACCCATGATGGTCGTTTTACGCTTCTTTCCCATAGGCAAATTGATTTCATAAGTACATAATATAAAAGTAAACTCTTGTGATGGATTTGTGCTAATACTGCTTTATCTGTTTTGAGCATTAGGGGTGGAGATAAGATGGGTTTGAAGAAAGACCCTGTTGCTAAAAGCTGAGTTTGAAAACAGTGATCTAAGGTGGGAAATGAAGAACCTCAGAAATGTGAGTGTCCAGAATTCCTACAAGGACCTCAGTGGCCACGGCGCAGGCTGAGCTCCCCCAGGGATGCCCAACAGATACCAGTCAACAGCGATCACATCACCAGTGCTGGGCAGCCCTGTGCAGGCAAACGCCCATAACCGTGCAAACAGGGGTGGGGCTGCAGGGATTCAGTCTCCCTTGCTCCTCTTCTGTGTGTATTTAAACTGTTCTGTATTAAATAGTTTGAAAATGGTCAAATATATACTTTTCTTCACTACTGGAAGACATAGTGCATCTGCACAGTTCTTGAGGATGCCACCCTGTGGCCTCTCCATCCCTGCAGGAGCCGCCTTTCTCTGGCTGCCTTTGTCCTCCGCCAGCCAGCAATGACCGGAAGGAACTCACTCTTGCTGTGAGGGGAGCTCTGAGCCCTACCCCTACCACAGAGGGGGCGACTGGGGCAAATTTAACTCAAACATGTAGGATGCAAGCTCCATGTCCTTAGCGGGAGGAGGAGGAGGAGAGGTGTCTGCACAGGCTCTAAAGGATAGGCAGAGCTCCTGCAGATGGAAACAGGGGTAGACAGGCCCCTGGCAGAAGCACGGTGGGATCACACACCTGGAGATAAAACAGAACAAGGGAGGTTCCAGGAAGGTCTGACTTGTCTGGATCATGGCATCTGCCTGCACCATGTTGACCTAAGCAGTGAGGCTGGAAAGAGGGCTCAGGAGCAAACAACTGCTTAGCCTCCCAGGCAGGGCTCAGGAGCCCAATCCTTATGGGATTACAAGCTG